CAGACCCATAGGGCTGGCGTCGTCACTGTCGAGGCTCCTGTCGGGCGTCAGGGGGTCGTGAGTGACGCGCGCAAGCCGTAGGGCGAGCATCTGCGCCGGGCCCAACCGAATTACTCCTGGCCCACCCTCGTGATCGGCGCCAGCGATTGACCAAACCAGCCCCGACAGGTCCATCAAAGTCAAGGTTCTTGCGGCAGCTAGTCGAGCCGGGGCGGGTGGCCCGTGGCGAGGGTCAGGGGGTGTCGACCGCAGTGGGGAGTTTGGGTGCACTCCGGGGTGGCCGGGGCGGCGCCGGTTCCAGCTGTGGTGTACTAGCATTTCGAAGTTGTGGTTTTGGACATAGGGGGGCGCTCGGTACCCCTGTTCTCGAGCTTTCCCAAGGACCTTGGATGTAAAAAAAATTCCATGGGAAGGCCCCCAGGGCGCCCCCCCTCCCTGCATCTGCAGTCCGCAACCCGAAAGCCGCAGGCTGGGCCGTCGTTCTCGCGGCTTTGGGGCTAGTCGGTCCTGGGGCGCCCGGTGAGCTCCATCCACCGCGCGTGGGCGTCGGTGCAGTCTCGCAATCTTCTGGGGCTCAGTACGTCGCTGCCTGGTTCGGAAACTGAGGTCCCCCCTCTGCCGTCGGTGGCCCACTGGTCGTCCGTAGGGGACCAGTCGGGGGACTGCGGGTAGTCCGGGGGGCCCTCTCCTGGGAGAGGGTCTCCCTGGGCGGCAGCCGGGGGGCGCGGTTCGCCCCCCTGAGAGCCAGCGGAAATGTGGGGGGGGAAGGGGGGGCCGGGAGGAGGTTGGATAGTGAGGGGAGAGCGGGGAGAGGCGATCGCGGGGGCGTCTTGACACCGCCCTGGGATGGCGGGCGATTGATCTCCATCGGCGGGGGGGGGCGCTCGCTCGGCGCGGGCAGCCGGCCTGCCCCGAGAGAGCGGCGATCGGGGCCCCCTGCGGAGATCGGATCCAGGGGAGCGCCGCGGATTGGCCTGCCACGGCGGCGGCGGCGGCAGCCGCCGCGCCTGCCGCAGCCGCTGCTGCGGGCGACTTCGATGCGGCCCGCGTGACTGTGGCGGAGTCCAGGGCAGGGCTGCCGTGACTGCCTCTAACAGCGGTATCGGTCGCGCTCATCGCTGGGTCGTCGTCGGCAGGGCGTCGGGGGGCGATCCTCCGTGGGTCTCTGTAGCGGGACTGTTGTGTGGCCTTGCTGCTCCAGCGGCGACCGTCTCCGGGCTGGGTCCCCCGTTGGCTGGCTGTTCGAGGCTTCCAGGAGTCCTAGTCGCGTCCTTCGCTCCAGGGGTCGGCCTACCATGGCCGCTGCTGCCGGGCGCCGTCGCGTCGGAGAAGCACAGGGGAGGGCCGCCCACATCCATCGGGGAGGAGCCCTGCTGACCTGGGGGGTCCGCTGGGTCGGCGCGGCTGCAGCACGGCCCTGCTGGGGCACGGTGGGTCGTGGCGACCGCGTCCGGCGAGCCATGGGGCGGGCCGCCCATCTCCGTCGGGGGTGGGGGTTCCGTCGAAGCGCCGCAGTCCGGTCCAGAGTGCGGTCTTATGGTGGCCGCGGTGCACCCGGTAAGAGGGCGGGCGCCGCCTCTCCCCTGTCCGCCCCCAGGGCGGTCGCAGGTCGCTGCTGCGGGGCGCCGAAGGGATCCGCGCTCTGAGCGGCCGCCGGCAAGAGAGCTGGGGCTCGAGACATCACGATTTCCATCTGGCCTAACGGGCCCTGTTTCACTTTGGAAGATCGATAATATCGAAACCGCGTTCTCCTCTTCTGGCCCACCGGGCCCTGTTTCAACTTGCAACTCCGAGTGCGCGACCGCGGCGGTTCCTTCTGGCCTAACGGGCCCCGTTTCACTTAGAGACGCCTGCAGGCCGCCAGAGGCCCCCGGTAGGGCGCCGAAGCTCGGGCGTTGGAGGGCGCGTGCGTCAGGACCTCCTGCGGGCAGGGGAGAGGCGCAACCCAGAGGGGGAACATCGCCACAGAGAGCTGCAGCGCGGCATGGGGGGCCCATGGGCCCACTCCTCTGGCCCATGGGGCCCCGTTGCCCCTGGCGAAGCCGGCGGGCGACCGGGGGCGTTGACAACGGTGTCGGCGCTCGGTCGACGCGGGCCGGGGGCGCATGGTACCACTATGGACAGGGGGGGGGGGACATGGGAAGCACAGAGACATACTAATACTGTGTGTCCGCCTTGGAGGCGCGCGTCCGACCCGAACATATAGTATACCCATCTTGTAGTATATCGTTTCTCGAGCGGTGTGGCCAGAATGCGCCCGCCACGACGCATATACTACAAGATTTCTCGGTGCGCGTGTCGCCCCTGGGGGGGCGACTAACACATAGTATACGTATGTTGGGGTGTTGCCGAGGACACAATCCTGAAGGAAATTGCTGTCCGGAGAGGCTGTCGTTCCGAGCGCAACGGCAGCGTCTCCGCTCCCCCCTGGCCTAACGGGCCCCGTGTCCGTTGGCAACGCGGGCGGAGCAGGTGGGCCGCCCCCTTCTGGCCTGGCGGTCCCTGCTTCATCTCGTACGTCAGCTGACGCCGACGAGGCGCCCCCTTCTGGCCCAACGGGCCCTGTTTCACTTGCAGTGGTCAGCTGGCCGCCAGGGGTACTCGGAAGGGCGTCAGGATTCGAGCGTTGGAGGGCGCGCAGACCAGGGTCGCCCGCGGGCGAAGAGGGAGACCCAAGTCGCGAGGGTCCGTCGCCACCCTGGGCGGCCGCGTCGCACACTGATCCTGCCATTACATTCCTTAGTGGCCTAACGGGCCCTGTTTCACATTGCAAGGGCGGCTGGCCACCAGGAGCGTCTGTGGAGGCGTCGGGGAACGGCTCTCTGAGAGCGCGGGGGCTACCCTCGCCCGCGGGGGCCAGGAGAGCGCTTCCCTGGGGGGACCTGTTCCCGTCGTGGGTGCTACTGTCAGCACCGATTGGGGAGGTGTCCCGGGGACCCGGGGCTCTGTGATTGGGGCTGGGGCCGAAGCCCCCCGTGGAGTGGGCGTCTGTCTCGTCGGGGCGTTCGAGCGGGCCCCCCCCTTGGAGAAAAAGGCAGGCGGGAGAACCTGAGGCTGGAGCGGGAGCGCTGGGGAAATGGAGTCGACGGTAGGGGGGTGGGGGGTGCGTTGTCCTGAGTACCATTGCTGCCAGGGTAACCAAGGTTGCGGCTAACGGCCGCTGGTCTAATTGGGTCGATAGGGTCTGCGCGCATTGCTGTCCAAGTTCTTCTCGGTGGGGTCCCGGGCAGCCCCTGCCATCGACAAGGTCTCCACTCGGGTTCATGGGTCCGATCAGGGGATCCGTCGTGAGGTCGATCGTCTTGAAATCGGTCTGGCCCCCCCCGAAGTCTGGAGGCCATGGTTGACCGGGGGGTATCTGCGAGGGGGTGGGTTCCACGGGGGGGTGGGCGCCATCCTCCTGACTGTCATCACCCCGGTCGATCGCAAGATCCGTGATCCCATCGTCCATCCACTGAGGGCAGTCTAGGCCTGACCTGGCAGGCTGTGACTGCGCCGCGCCGGGGGCTGCGCCGCGAGCAGCGCGGCCGCGACCCGAGGGAAGCGGAGTCCGCCCAACGATGCGTCGGGCGCCCCCTTGAGCACGGGAGACCAGCCCGAGGGAGCCGGGCCCGTGAGATGGCTTGAGCCAGGGGGCTACGGAAGCTGGTGGGGATCCGCGAAGCGAAGCGTCTAGAATTCGCTAATCGACGCGTCAGGGTAGGAGGTCTATCAACCTCCGAAAATATTGGATACCTGATGTGGCACGAGCGCACCTAGCCTGCCTCGCTCCTCTCTCCTCCCGCCTGCTCTTTCACGCTCCTGCTCCCTCCTCCTCCTCCTCCTCCTCCTCCTCCTCCTCCTCCTCCTCCTCTCCTCCTCCTCATCCTCCCTCCTCTTCCTCTTCCTCCGGCCCCTCCTGCTCCTGCTCCTGCCGCTGCTTCTGATCCTGACCCTGACGCCTCCTGCTCCTCCTTCCTGCATCCCAGAGGAGGCCAGGCTGACGGGGCACGCGCGCCTCCTCGCGCGCGCCTCCCACACAGCGAACACCGGTCCGCGAAGGGGGCCGCAGGAGGGGCAGGACGGCGGGGGGACAACGAGGCCCCACGGCATCATTGGCCACGAGAGTAGAAAGCTGCGGCGTCTGACTGTTCTTCGGAATGGCCCCCAACAAACACGTGTTCGCGCTCACGGAAACCGTCACAACAAAAACCCTCGTCGCCATCATCGCCATCTCATTGATCCGTGCGCGGTGCGTGCACAGCAATTTGTTACGCAGTCAGCTCTGGGCGCTGTGCGTCTGTATAACATCTTGCCGGATTACGTTGCAGCCGCCGGCACTGCAAAGGAATTCCAGACCCGAGCATCTGCCCTCTGACGAGGAGGTGGGTGCGCGCACCTGTCCTGGCCAGGCCCAACCTGGTCCGATGACGAAAGACGTCCCCGCAGCCTGTGCCCTCGATCTTGAGCAGGGACCGAACGTCACGGCATTCCTATAGGCCTACCACGAAATGTTCTTAGACCCCCAACAGTTCCAATAACAAAAACGATGTTTCTTAGAACATAAACCCCATGTGTCAAAACAAGACAGTCCCAGCCAGAAATGTTCTAAGAACATTTCGTGGGAACCACAAAAAGTTCTTAGAACCTTCTTTGGTAGCCCTATAGGCACGCCAGGGCGCTTCGCCACTGCACAACCTGGCCTGATGCCCAGAGTTGGCGGCGCGCAAACAGGGGGTAGGGGGAGGGGGGAAGGCTTCTTAGAAACACCCTGCTTCTTAGAGGGCCCCGGCGCTACATCTTTAGAGAAGGCCCGCGCCTTCCAAGAAGCGGCGGTGCTTCTAAGAAGCCTTCCCCCCTCCCCCTACCCCCTCTGCGCGTGGCCGTCAGAGTGACGAAAGACGTTCCCACCGCCTGTGCCTTCGATCGCCGCCAGGGTGGCCTCGGCGCCGATCCTGGGCCCCCTGGCTGGCCTGGCCAGGATCCGGCGCGGCGGTGGTTGGCGCGTCCCGTGGGGGCGCCTCTCCACGCCGCAGTACTGCTGGTGGCAGACCTCGTGCAGGAGGGGCGGGGGGGGGAGTACAGCAGGGGCCCTACCACAAGAAACCTTCTACAAGAAACCCAACCCTGAGACCCTAGGACGTGCATTCATGTTTGGTGTGGGAGCGTCACGCTTTCCATAGCAAAGCCATCGAAACCCAAGAAACCCAGGGCACCCTGGAGGCGAGCAGGGTGTTTTTTGGCATGGGCCACCACTGTAGGGGGAGGGGAGGGGGCAAGCTAGGCGCGCTCGCGTCATATCTGACGTCCTACCCTTCCCTCCCATCCTCTACCATGGCGCAGATCCCCTCTCTATTCGCACAATCGGATGTCGAGCAGGGCAATGTTCACGGGAGGGTGCGCGATGCAACGTAAGTAAAGGCATAGCAGGGCGTCGAAGAGCATGGCAGAGCGTAGTTGTCATAGCATGGCGTGGCATTGCGTGGTGAAGGAATGCATTACAAAGCATTGCAACGCAAGTAATGTCATCGCACAGCGGCGCAGAACAGAACATGGCATAGCATGGCGTTGCAGATCAAAGCGTACCATGGCATAGCATGGCGTGGCTCTGCGTAGTCAACCACTGCATATCCTAGCATTGCAGCTGAAGACATGGCATCGCACAACGGAACACCCCTTAACATTGCATTGCATGCCGTGGCATGGCACTGAAAATAATGACGCCAACGCTGCAGCGGGAGCACGATTCGGAACGAGCGGACATGAGGCCAGCGCTGCAGCGGGAACACGATTCGGAAAGAAGGGAAACGCGGAAATGAGGCCTACGCTGCAGCGGGAGCACGATTCGAAACACACGGAAGCCCGAAAATGAGGCCAACGCTTCAGCGGGAATAACATTTGAAAACGAACCCAAACGAAAACCCAACTCCCGGGAATCCTGTGCGAATCAAAACACTGCGCGGAGGGGGCCCGAACATCTTCCGGACGTCATCAGGGGAGTGAGGAGAGTAGTATCCATACTGTGTAAGTGTGGAGAGTGAAGAAGAGGCGGAGTGAGGAAGAGGGAGGATGAACGACGAGGGGTAGCGTAGAGATGGGGAGGGAGGAGAGGAGCGGGGCTTCAGTCTTGAGTAGTTCGTACTACGAGCATTTCGGTGCTGAAGACATCGGTTAGGCCACTCGGCTGTTTGACCTCCTCATTTCTGGCAGCCTCCGTGACGCCACCGCTCGCTTTCTGGCGCGCGCACATATCTTCAGAATAAACCATCTGGGCGAATCCTAGCTCCCGCATCTCCTCCCCTTGGTCTGGGCGCGGGGCCACGCTAGGGGTTGGTTACAGCGTCCGAGACGGCCCAAGATGGCTCCAGGGACCTTGGGTAGATCCAGATGGCCTCCAACACGGCTCAACATAGCTCGCTACTGCCGACGATGACCTCCGATGCGTTTCCAGTGGTCACGGAGCGTCCCACGGATACGCTCCAAATACCAAATCCTTGTAAAAAGAACTACCCCAATACAGACCCCCTGTAGCAGCAACAAGAGGCGGGCCGATGAGTAGGACATCGGCTACAGGGGGACAAACGTGAGAGCCCGCCCATGTGCAACTTCGTGTTTTCTAGAAGGCATCGTGGCCGTCTGGATCAAACGTGTAACTGTCATTGAGGCTATGCCACGATAGGCGACACGCCTGCCAGACCGGGCGTCCTCGGGCTCCCCGCCTCCCCCTGTGGAACTCTTGTGTGGGGATGTCGAACACGTATTCGACCCCTCCAGCGAAACTAGGGAATATTCAGCTAGAGGGATGCCTCACCCCTGTGTTCCACTGCGATGCAGGCGCAGAGTTCAACGAGCCTTCCTAACCCCGAGTCAATGTTGACTGGCATCACCAGCGGGGTGCAAGATTTCAGTCAGTCGCCAGATTGACATATCGCGGCACAGCCCGCCAACATTGAATGAAGGGCGCGGTGGGTGTTCAGAAAACCAGCATGAAAAGGTTAATGGAATTGTCCATCAACCGATGCTCTTGCATTGCCCTGGTCAGGGCAACTCGCCTAGCGATCGTTTCTGGTTAGGCTGATGGAGATGGGCGAAACGTTAAGAATGCGGCGCCCCCCCCCGCGGGCGAGCTTGTGAGCGCTGGGCGGCGTTGGTCGTGTAAGAGCTGTGGATGGGCAATTGGCTGAAGAAGTTGCTACCTGACTAGCTGGCCAATTCGTGGGGGGGGCATCGCATAGCCGCGCCAGCTTGAGTTTGGGAGAGCTATTCCGTCGCCAAGATCCGCTAATACGGCCCAAGGCTTCCAGATGGCCTAAAATAGCATCCGATGTTGGAGGCTATCGCCCAAGACGGCTCGAGATAGCTGCCAAAATGCTTCAAAGAGGCCCCAAGACCGTCCCAAGTGGGCTCCGATGGGCCGCAGTGCCAAACAGCCCGAAACATTGTGAACTCGAAGAAATTCAATGTTTAGCATTTCATCGTTTCCCTTCCGATGTGGCTCTCGCGCCTGTCTTGCAACAACCCGTCCGCGAATCTCCATTCTCGTCTGCGCCGGGAAACGATTCGGCGTAGCACAGGAACGCATGTCCGACTCTATACGCTGTCCAGACAAGCCTCTCGCCAGAGCGCACATCGCTGACGTCTGCGCACCTCTGGATCCTACAGTTTCCGACTTGTGGGGCGCAGCTCCAGTCAGCCGTGCTGCTCTGTCGCATTTGTGTGCGCGAGTCTTCTCGCTACAGGATTTGATCACGCACGCCAAGCGGCTGTGTGAGGACGCTTGGATCGCAAGCAGCCCTGCAAATACCACCACGCAAGAGCGGCGTTCCATGCGGGCCCGCCAGGCGCCGTCGTTTCCAGCAGCTTGCACGATGTACGCATATGGCGGCGGAACGCGCAGCAAAGGTCGTTCCACGCGCCGGGTGGCCACCGTCGAGATCCGGCCATATTTACAGAGAGTTCCATGCCGACGCCGATGGCATCTGCAACTCCGTGATTGATATCGCTGCAGTAGGCCACAAGCAGAGAGAGCACGAGACAATCGTTGCTCTCAACTGGGAGCCCTTTGTTGATCCTGCCCCGACGTGACACCCCTCTGCCCACCTCCTGTGGCTGGCTCCCCCCCCCCGCTTGTGGTGTCACCCTCCTTCCGCCGCTCAGCCGGTTCGTCAGCCGGTCCCCGATGCTTCCTCTCTGTTGCCCCGTCCCCTGCTGGCGCTAGCCTGCCGTACCCGCGCATGTCGGCGCCGCCCGCTGTCAGAATTGAAACTTTTACCATTGCACATGGATCCAGCACGCTTCACCAGCCGTCAGGCTAGTAAGTCCACCGCACATGCCGCTTTCAATCGTACCTTACCACCTTACCAGGGGGAGCGGCTGCAGGACAATAGGCAGATAGACAAGTATGTAAGGTGCACACTTTGACACGGTGCGCATCCGGCTCCCGAGCTTTTTCGTCGTGACTGGAAGGGGAGAAGGATGATGAGAGAGGAGGAGACGGAGGACGAGGACGAGGAAGAACACCTTCCCCTCCTGAGCTTTGCACGCCCAGGGCGGACCGAGCACCGCGGGGCCTCGTCGCTCACCTTGCCGCGGGCCAAAGGGGCCCTGAGGGAAACGGGTCCGGATGTGGACAGCTCCCGTCGCGCCGACAAGGGCGCTCTGTCACGACACCGCGCAAGATCGTTCCATCCATCTTGAACAGTCTCCGCTGCTGGACGGCAGAAATCGTCAACGTTCGCCTGGCTCAAGCCGACGGTGGCCTTCGACCCTGAGAGCCCGCGACGGCGTCGCCGTCGCGTCGTCGCGGCGCGAACCTGCCTCACTTGCTCAGCCCGAGCCGCTGTCGTTGACAGCCCCGGGAGGCGGGGAACGGTGAAAAAAACGTCGGGGACCCCTGCCCTTCTTCGAAAAGGCCCCTGCCGCCAACAGCGACTGGACCGCAACCGTTCACGGACCCCTCCTGGGGTCGACCCTGACCCGCCTTTCGGAGCGGACCCAGCCGTGGCGACGAGAAGCATCCAGGTCCAGAGAGGACGACAAACTACAGGGCAGGCAGCCGTTGACTCGACTGGCCCTCCTCCGACCCGACAACCTCCAGAAACGCCTCGAGAACCTAGATCCCACTGGGTCGAGGCGGGTCGCCGCGCTCTGGCGGTGGCGGCGGATCCACTGCTCGACGCACGACGCGTGCACCCCGCTCATGGAGCCCCGGCAGGCGCAGGGCTCGACGGCCCGGCGGGGGGCTTCGGGCGAGGGCGGCTCCGTTCCCCTCCAGGCCGCCCAACGACGGGGTCGGAGTGCAGTGCGGACGCGGCCGCAAGAGACCCTCACACGAAGCCAAGCCCTGAAGGTCCGCGCGCCAGGTGCAGCTGGGGGGGAGACCCCGAGCACCCTGAACGCAGCAAAGCCGCAGCGCTCACCGCGTAACACGCGAAACCAAGAAATCCAAGCTGTCGTGACGAAGAGCACCGGGCTTCTTGAGTCTTGATGCGCGTCCCCACTGCGGATGGAGCCGGGGGATCGCGCCACATCGTCGACGCATCCACGATGCGGCGCGACTTTCCGACACCAGCTTCTCGGACTCCATCCGGGAGGCCTCAACCCTCAGGCCTTCGTCAGGGCTGGAAAAGGTCATGGGCTGTTTCGAGCCCAGAACAGATGTGATGAGGTCGCAAGGGCTGGAATAACGAGCGGGAAACTACCCAGGGCTGGAAAGAGTGGAAGGGCTGGCCCGAGCCGCTTTACCAGCCTCGCTGAGTAGGACACGGCGGGCGGTTGCGGTCAGAACTTGGCCACACGAGCTCGAGTCAAGAGCAGGAGCCCCCTCGCTGGAAGCCCAGTGCCCCATTGCATGGAAATGCCCCGAAGCGAAGACCGTGCCAAAACGGGTTGCCTTTAACCCCCGTGCCAGCTGTGGGGAATCGCCTGCACGCAACCGATTTTTTCCTGCGCGTCCCGGCGCCGCGACCAGGTGGCATCGAGGAACGGCCAAGCGGTGTGGCCGAAACCAGCTGCATGCAACAAATTTCGCGAACGTGCATTGTACACTCGGGGGACCTTCTCTGCCCCATAGCGCCGCTATCCGCGTCGAATCCGCGTCGAAAACATATCAAACGCGTCACTCCGCGTTGTGTAAGGACCCATCGCCCCTTTCGCCCTCCCACGGGAGGGGGAACCGTCCCCCTCCGCCCAAGCCCCCGCCAGGATGAGCGGCTCCCCGGTCGAAGTGTCCCTGCAGATCCAGCACTCGCGCGGCCCATCCTCTGGTGGTGACAGGAAGCACATGGGCAGCGCGAGGGAGAGTGCAGGGAAGGACCAGGCTGGAGAGAGGGAGATGGTAGTGGGATTAGCGGGTCGAGCGAAAAGAAGTGAGAGGGGGAAGGAGTAGGACGGGGGAGGAAGGGGGGGAAGGACGAGCTGCCTCACCCTCCCCCTCCCCCTCCCCCTCCCCCCTCCTCCATCGGCAAGTGATGCATGTTTCGCACGCTCGTTCGCATTAATCGCTTGAAGACACGATGATTTCGGATCAATTGGGACTTTGGCGCATTGGCAACGATGAACCCGACGCCGCTGTCAGGAACGCTCTGTCCAAGCATCCATCGGGTTCTGCTTGAAAAGGTCAGCGCGAGCACGAAATCGCACACGCTCGTGCTTTCGGTATCGTGGAGATCCACGCATCAGTTCACGACATCCTGAAGGCTCACTGGAGATGGATTGCCTTCGAGGGCGCGCCGCTGGATGCCCCCAAGTCGGGGGCGCGCAAACATGGATTAGCGATCCATGCATGAGGCGCGCGGTCGCCAAATCCATGGATCGGAGGAGGTGCCCTCCCCAAAATGCGGCCGGTGCCCCCTCGTTCGGCACAGGAAATCCGCGATTGTTCACGGAAACGGGCCCCGTCGCTAATCCACGCCCCCTTGATCCATGTTTGCGATCGCCTGATGGATGCCCCCAAGGGCGGGGGGGGCGTCCGGCACCCCCCACCCCCTCCCCCCCTTTCCACGGTCCGTCGTCGGCGGACCTCCCCCAATTTCAAGGTCCGTCGTCGGCGGAACCCCCTCTCCCCCCCCCTTCGGCGGACCGCCCCCCCCTTTCCAAAGCGGGGGGGGTTGGACCCCCCCTCCCCCCTCCCCTTTGGATTCGAAATCCGGACCCTCCCCCCCTCAGGCCCCCCCTTCCCCCCTCAAGGGGCGTGGTCGGGAGGTCGGACCCACCCCCCTTACTTCGGAACCGTAGCTCTACCCCCTGAACCTGACCCCCTAACACCCTAACCCGAACCTTCATCCCCGACCCCAACCCCCTAACCCTAACCCTAACCCTCACCCTAACCTTCACCCTAACTCTTACCCTAACCCTAACCCCGAACCTTAAACCCTAACCCTAACTTTAACCCTAACTCTTTGTAACCCTAACCCTAACTCTAACCCAAACCCTAAGCTCTAGCCCTTAACCTCTAACCCCTAATCCCTTACCCCTAACGCCCATCCACTACACCCTCTGCAATCCTCACCCTAACCCAGAACCTAACCCTACTACCCTAACCCGAGACGTCCGAACACCCTGACCCCAACCCTGCCACCCTAACCCTAACCCCCTCACCCTAGCCTTAGACCTAACCCTAACCCGAATCCTACCATCCTAACCCTAGCCCCCATAAACCCCGTAACCCCCGAACCCGAACCATAACCGCGTAACCCTAAACCTAACCCAAACCCCCTGACCATAATCCCCTACCCCTAACCCCTACCATAACACCCCAGCCCTAACCCGAGCACATTAACCCAAACACCCATGGCACTAATCCTAACATCCTAACCCTAACCCTACCACCCTACCCCTAACTCCCTAACCCCAACCCTAACCCTACATCCCTATTCCTAACCCCCTGACCCTAACCCTAATCCTCTAACCCTAACGCTAACACCCTAACCCTAACCCCATAACCCGAACCCGAACCCTGACCCCGCAAACCTACCACCCTAACCCTGACCCCCTAACCCCCGAACCTCCTAACCCTGACACCCTGACCCTACCACCAACCCTACCCCCCTGACACTATCCCGATCACCCTAACCTGAACCCTACCACTCAAGCCCTAACACCCGAACCCGAACCCTAACCCAGACAGCCGAATCCGACCCCCTAACCCTAACCCTAACCCATTAACCCTAACCCTTCTACCCTAACTAAAACCACCCTGAGACACACCCTAACCCTACCCCTCACCCTACCACCAAAATCCGAATCCCCTAGCACTAACCCTAACACCTTACGTCTTACCCTAATCCTAGTTAACCCTACCATCCTAACCCTGACCCCCGGGCCCTAACCCTAATCTGAACACCCGAACCGTAACCCTACCACCCTAACCCTAACCCTAACAACCTAACGCCCCAACCCTAGCACACTGACCCTAACACTCTCACCTCAATCCAACCACCCTCTGACCTCAACACCCTAACCCTAACCCCCTAACTGCCTAACCCTAATCTTAGTCCCTAACCCCAAACCCCTAACCCTCACACAATTTCTAACTCTCACCCTGACCTTAACCCTACCCTGAACCCTGACCGAAAACCTAAGTCTGATCCGAACCCTACGCTCTAACCCCTAATTTCCTACCCTTAACCCCTAACCCCGAACCCTAACCCCCATGTAAGCCGCACCCCAACCCTAAGCCTAACCCTGCTGCCCTAACCCGAACCCCTTTGACTCCCTAAACCCTAACCCTAACACCCTAACCCCCCAACCCTGACCCCCTAACCCTAACCTTAGACACAACGCGAACCCTAATCCTACCGTCCTAACCCTAAACCCCAAACCCCCTAACCCTCGAACCCAAACCCTAATCGCCTAAGCCTAACCCTAAGCCTAACCCGACCCCTGTTGACCCTACCACCCGAACCCTAACCCCTACCCGAACACCCTAACCCTAATCCTAACCTTAGCACCCTAATTCGAGCCCCATGACACTAATCCTATCACCCTCACCCTAAGCCTAACCCTACCACCCCAGACCGAACCCCTAAAACGAACCCTGACCCGATTACCCTGATCCTAAACCTCTCACCCTAAACCTAACTCCGAAATCCTTAACACTGCCACCCTAACCCTCTAACCCTACCCCTCACACCCACACCCGATCTTTGCCCTTAACCCCCCCCCCCCACCACACCTACCACCCTAAACCTGACACCCTAACCCTCACAACATAACCCTAACCGTACCACCCTACCTCTAACCCCTGATACTATCACTATCACCCTACCCTGAACCCTACCACCCAAACCCTAACCCCCTAACCCGAACCCTAACCGGAACATACCAATCCGAGCCCCTGACCCTAACCCTAACCCTAACCCCGTAACCCCGTAACCCTAATCCTAATGGCCCACCCAAAACCCCTTGACCCGAACCCTAAACATACCCCCCCAACCCTGCCACCCTAATCCTAACCCCCAAATCCTGACCCTAACACATTACCCCGAACCTTAATCCTGACCCTACCACGCCTACCCTGACCCCCGTATCTGAACCCTAACCTTAACACTCTAACCCTGACCTTACCACTCTAACCCTAACCTCCTAACCCTAAGCCTAACTCCCCTATGACCCCAACGCCCTAAACCTAACACCTAACCCAAACACTCTCACCCCAACCCAACCACACCCCAACTTTGACCCCCACTATCTCTGGCGCATCACAGAGAAGCGGGAGGCACTCTGCCCGCCCTCCCTTTGAACTCCCCTTGAACGGGGGGTGGGGGTCCAAAATCCTCCCCCCCCCCACCCTCTCCGGCGCAAAGGGGGGGATGGGGGGAGGGTGTCCAAAAACCCCACCCCTCCTTTGAACTTTGAAAAGGGCGAGGGGGTGGGGGAGGTCCGAAAACATCCCCTCCTTGGCACACGACCCTTTGAAATTACGGGGGCGCCCAAAGGCGCGCTTTCATTATCTTCGCCCCACGGGGTCCCTCGACACGACAAGCAAGTCCAAGAATATTGCCATGCAGGCACTTCTGGACCTGTTTTCCGTGTCGAAAGCACCTTGGGAATGTTTGCTTTAGGCACCATTATTCACCTGCTCAGGAGATAGAGAAGCAAGGGAATGATATTGCGTATGACTGTGGTGATGATTCAGTATGTGGCATGCGACAAGTGTGCAAACGTTGCAAAAACACCCTAGCGCTTCAAGGGGTCAAAAGAGCCTTGCGTCCCCGCTCCATCGCGATTAAGCAATTGGACCTGGAGTGTGGAATCAACGGGCAGGCATCCCAAGAGGACGGATCTCTCCGCTGCCTGCCCTCTCCACCCTTCGTCCAAGACTTCCAACACCTTTGCGGCACTCCTCTGGGCGAGCCGGCCCTGGCCTCGGGCCCAGGTCATCCTGAGGGTTCGGCACCCTTTGGGGGGAGGGTGGGCGGCAGTTGCCGTTGCTGCGGTCAGGCTGGCGGGGCCGCGTTGGCTGGCAGGGCCGCCTTCGGCACGCCAGCCTTCGGCGCGCCAGGCTTCGGCGCGCCAAAGGCAGCGCCGCTGCTCGTCGCGCCAGGGGCACCGCCGCCGTGCTTACCTTGGGGTCTTGCGGACGCGGGGGGGGGGGTGCCATTGCCGCTGCACGGGCCTCTGCAGGGCGGGCGGCTAGGGTGACGTCGGGCCTGTCCTCCTGCAGGCGGATTTTGGACGAACGATGGAGAATTGTCAAAACTGCTCCACAAGTCATCAGAAATACTCACAACATCGTCCCCCGACTATTTTCTTACTATTTCTGAAATGTCCCCCCTGCGGAGGGACAGGCCCGACTTAAGGCTAGGGGCAGGCCCCTCGCCTCCTTCGGGGTGCGGGCGTGGTGGAGTGCGCGCGCCAGCGGCCCCCTTCGGCTTTTGCTGCCCGCCCACCTCGTCGACCACCAGTCATTACACCGGCCTTGCGGACGTGCTGCAGCGGATTTCTGCGTGGATTTCCGCATGGATTTCTCCCCGAAGCGGTGAGGATTTCGCGTGGATTCGTTGTGGTCTTCATTCCTGGCCAACAAAATCAGCACGAAATTCACCTCGAAATCCGCAACGACATTCTCCAGGACATGGAGTCCCGAAACGGTGCGGTGACAGACCGTGCGGTGACCTCGAAATCCCCCAAGACCTCACCGCACGGTCCGTCAACGGTATCGGGACCTCGCATGCCCCGGTCGCCCGAGACGCCCTCGGAGGAACAGCCCGAGCCCTAAAACCGTGCGGTGACCCCGGATCCCCGCCGACTCACCACACGGTGTGGTCACCACACGGTTTGGGGGCCCCCGAACAGCATCAGAGGCTGAGCAAAAGAGCCTCCTCCTCACCGGGGCCAGCTGAGACAGCGGCGGCTCACCCGCCCGGCCCACACGCATTCAAACTCGCGCCCCACGCCCAGACTAGGGGGAGCAACGCCAAAGAAGGCCGCCGCTGTCTCGATTGGCCCAGCTCCCATCCTCCCCCCCCTTGGCACCGTCGTCGTTGTCTCCCTCACTCTCTCCGCCTCGACCCCCCCCGACGAGGGGCGAGGCTCGGCCAGAGCCCGCCGGGTCCTCGCCGCCCTCTTCGAGGCGGTCGTCATCGGCCTCGGCCAGAAGGGAATGCGCGAGCAGCACAGAAGGATGAGTATGATGGTGGTGGTGGTGGTGATACTGATGCTGATGCTGATGCTGATGCTGATGCTGATGCTGATGATGATGATGATGATGATGATGATGATGATGATGATGATGATGATGACGATGATGATGATGCTGATGCTGATTATCATTCTGATGATGGTGGTGATGATGGTGATGAAGCTGACGATGGCGACGACGACGACGACGACGACCGTGACAGTGATGATGACGATGCTGAATATGATGATTACGATTATGATGGTGACGGAGATATTGATGATGGTGGTGATGATTATGATGATGTTGATGTTGATGATGAGGTTGGTGATAAATAGCCAGTCCCCCCGGAGCGCGACAAAGTGGTCTGGCGAAGCAACAAGAACCGACACAGGTAATCAACCATGCAATGCCCGCGGTTCCAGCGGCCTGACGCTCGGGACCGCTGCCAGGAACAGGTCTGCCAGCCGCGCAACCAGCGTGCTGGACAACCGCGCGGCGATCTTCCGCGCGTAACCGACCCCTTCTGCCCGCTGCCCGCCCGGCTCGCCGGGCAACGTCGCCACGCGGCGAGCCGCAGCCGCAGTCTCCGCGATAGGGAGGTGATGGTGATGGTGATAGTGATGGTCATGATGGCGCTGACGCTGACGCTGACGCTGACGACGACGATGATGATTATGATGGTGATGATGATGATGATGGTGGTGATGATTATGATGAGGATGATGGTGAGGATGAGGATGAAACTGAGGCTGAGGCTGAGGCTGATGATGCTGGTGATGGTGATGATGTTGCTGCTGCTGATGATGATGACGATAATGATGAAAATGATGATGATGATGATGATGATGATGATGATGATGATGATGATGATGATGATGATGATGATGATGATGATGATGATGATGATGATGGTGATGAGGGCATGCGGAGAGCAGAGGCAAGCATGAGAGGAGGAATGAGGAAAGGAGGGGAGAAAACGAACACACACACACACACCACCACGATTGGCCCGGGACTAAAGCCTCCATGTTCGGAGTCCCCAAACCAACAACCCAGAACGCAGGCCCGAACATATCTCCAACAAACCTGGTTCCAGGTTCTGTCTGGGTGCACGGCTTCAAGGAAAACCGGAATGTGAATCCCACCAGCCCTTCAGGACGTGAATGGTTTCGCAAGTTTCATCATCCAACGCCCCTCTTCCCCTTCTGAGAGGGGTTGAGTTGATCACTGCTCCCTATGAATATACGCCCCCTCCTCCAGGCGACCGGAGGCCGACCAGGAACCATGCACCCCCCCCATCCCTCTCAAAAACAATACAAAACGCACTCTGCCTCCACAGTTGGAGCATGCGAGGCGGCCAACCCGATGCGGCCTCCCCACCATCCCTGCCAAAAAACAATACAAAGTACACTTGGGGGCAAAATCTTGAGTCATGTTCGTGAGGCCTGCGAGCGCTTTGTACTGATTTTGACTAGGACGGCGGGGGTGCCAAGATAGTGCCTGCTGCGCGCAGGGCTGCCATCCCTAAGGAACAAACAAGACAAAATGTACCTCGCGGCTCAATCTGGATCGTGCGCGGCCACCACGCGATCACTGTCAAGTGGTTTTTGACAGGAACGGCGGGGGTAGTGGCGCGTGGCCTGCTGTGCGCAGGCCCACCAGACACAATGATGGGCAGTGCCTTTCGACAAGGATGGTGGGGGCCGACACGTTTCCCGACGTGTGCTGTCACGTGCGCGGGCGCACATGACACACTCTGCACGTGGCGCACCTGGCGCAGCTGGAGCATCCAGCACACCTGGCGCACTCGGAACACGGGGCGCATCTGGCGCACCAGGCGTGCCTGGCACGCTCGGGCCTTGGGGGTGCCTGACGCGAGTGGCGCACCTGGCACGCGTGGCGCACCTCGCCCCAGCGTCGCGCACATGGGGTCGGTTTTGATTCCCAGTAGCTGTCCATCCAAAGACGACAGCTGGACATGCTGAGGCTCGGGTGCTACTTATGTGCTGGGAGGGAGGGGTGGAGGGAGCTAGACGGCATGCTATCTAGGGGGTGTCTAGGTCACTGTTCCTTGCTCACATAAGCCCCCTCCCCCAGGCGACCGGGGGCCAACCAGGCACCATGCCGACACCATGCCCTCCCGCCCCCCGCCATCCCTGTCAAAAACAATACAAGCCGCACTCTGCCTCCACATTTGGAGCATGCGCGGCCAACCCGATGCGGCCTCCCCACCATCCCTTTCAATCATCAATGCAACATACACTTTGGGGCAATGTCTTGAGTCATGTTCGTGGGGCCCGCGAGCACTTCGTATTGTTTTTGGCAAGGACGGCGGGTGGGTTCAGCATATTCCCTGCTGCGCGCAGGGCTACCATCCCTGACAACAAACAAAGAATACAGCATGCACCTCGCGGCTAAATGTGGATCACGCGCCGCCATCCCGCGATCACTGTCACGGGTTTTTTGACAAAGACGGCGGGGGTGGTGGCGCGTGGCGCGTGGCCTGCTGTGCGCAGGCCCACCAGACACAATGATGGGCAATGCCTTTCGACAAGGATGGCGGGGCCCGACACGTTTCCCGATGTGTGCCGTCACGTGCGCGGGCGCACCTGGCGCTATGCACGTACCCCGAACGCGGCGCACCTTGCGCGGCTGGACTGTGCGGCACACCTGGCGCACTCGGAGCACGCGGCGCATCTGGCGCACCAGGCGTGCCCAGGGGTGCCTGGCGCGAGTGGCGCCCAAGGCACGCGTGGCGCACCTCGCCCAAACGTCGCGCACCTGGGGTCGGCTTTGGTTCCCACTGGCTGTCCATCCAAAGACGACCGCTGAACATGCTCAGGCTCGGGTGTTACTTATGTGTTGGGAGGGAGGGTGGGAGTGAGCTAGACAGCTTGCTATCTAGGGGGTGTCTTGATCACTGTTCCCTGATAGTATACACCCCCTCCCCAGGCGACTGGGAGCCAACCCGAGACCATGCGGCCACCCCCCCCGCCATCCCTTCAAACAAACAATATTATCCTGGCGAAGGACCCAACTAGATGCAGTTGTGGGTACCGCAATTGCGAAAATCTTCTTCGGTGAAACTCCCTATGGGGCCACGAAGCGCTGCACTGTGTGGGGGGGAACGCTGTTCTGGGTGAATGGTGTGTGTCAAGTAAGGTTTCCGGGACGCATGCGGACGGTCCCACTGGGGGCTTCGGTGGAGCTCCCTATCGAGCCACGAGACGCTGTACTGGGTAAATGAAAATGCCAAATTGGGCTTCCGGGACGCATGCGGACGGTCCCACTGGAGCCTTCGGTGGCAATCCCTATGGGGCCACGAAGCGCTGTACTGTGTGGGTGAAAATCCTAAATTGGGCTTCCGGGGCGCATGCGGACGGTCCCAGCTTCGGTGGAGCTCACGAAAGGGGCCACGAAACGCTGCATTGGATGGATAAAAATGCCACGTTGGGTTTCGGGACGCATGCGGAAAGTGGCACTGGGGCCTCCGGTGGAGTTCTCTACGGGGCCACGAAATTTTGGACTGTGTGGGTGAAAATGCTACAATGGGTGTTTCGGGGCGCTTGCGGACGGTCCCACTGGGGCCTTCGGTGGAGCTCCCTGTGGGGCCACGAAACGCTGCACTGGGTAAGTGAAAATGCCACATTAGGTGTGCGGGACGCGTGCGGACGGTGGCACTGGGGCCTTCGGTGGAGCTCCCTGTGGGGCCACGAAACGGTGTAATGGGTGAGTGAAAATGCCAAATTTGATGTTTCTGGACGCACTCGGACGGTCCCGCGGGGGACTTCGGTGGAGCTCCTTTGGCCACGAAGCGCTGTATTGAGTGGGGGGGACGCATGTGGACGGTGGCACTGGGGCCTTCGGTGGAGCTCCGTATGGGGCCACGAAGCGCTGTACTGAGTGGGGGGGGCGCATGTGGACGGTGGCACTGAGTGGAGCTCCCTGTGGGGCCACAAAGCGCTGTACTGAGTGGGGGGATGCATGTGGACGGTGGCACTGGAGCCTTCGGTGGAGCTCCCTTTGTGGGGCCACGAGTCGCTGTACTGAGTGGTGGGGGGACGCATGTGGACGGTGGCACTGGGGCCTTCGGCGGAGCTCCGTATGGGGCCACGAATCGCTGTACTGAGTGGGGGGACGCATGTGGACGGTGGCACTGGGGCCTTCGGTGGAGCTCCCTATGGGGCCACGAAGCGCTGTACTGAGTGGGGGGGACGCATGTGGACGGTGGCACTGGGGCCTTCGGTGGAATGGGCTGTACTGAGTGGGGCGCATGTGGACGGTGGCACTGGCATGGGGCCACGAAACGCTGTACTGAATGGGGGGGGCGCATGTGGACGGTGCACTGGGGCCTTCGGTGGAGCTCCCTATGTGGCCGCGAAGCGCTGTATTGAGTGGGGGGGACGCATGCGGACGGTGGCACTGGGGCCTTCGGTGGAGCTCCGTATGGGGCCACGAAACGCTGTACTGAGTGGGGGGGAACGCATGTGGACGGTGGCACTGGGGCCTTCGGTGGAGCTCCCTTATGGGGCCACGAATCGCTGTACTGAGTGGGGGGGCGCATGTGGACGGTGGCACTGGGGCCTTCGGTGGAGCTCCCTATGAAGCCACGAAGCGCTGTACTGAGTGGGGGTGGACGCATGTGGACGGTGGCACTGGGGCCTTCGGTGGAGCTCCCTGTGGGGCCACGAAGCGCTGTACTGAGTGGGGGGGGCGCATGTGGACGGTGGCACTGGGGCTTTCTGGAGCTCCCCGTGGGGCCACGAAGCGCTGTACTGAATGGGGGGGGCGCATGTGGACGGTGGCACTGTGGCCTTCGGTGGAGCTCCCTATGGGGCTACGAAGCGCTGTACTGAGTGGGGGTGGAACGCAGGGAGGAAGGAGGAGGGGGAGGAGGAGAGGAGGAACGCGGGGACCGTCTCTTTTAAACGAGGACCCAACACCACAGGATGGTTGGGAACGGA